CCCCCTCCCCTCTTTCACTCCGGCGAAAAAAGCTAGCTACCCGCGCTGACTGACGATAATAACATGCGAAACCAGACATGATCGACAAGCAATCACTGGAGATCAAGCAGGACGAGGACAAGACGGTCTACACGAACCTGGAGGAGATAGGCGATGATCTGCCCGACCACTCGCCGAGATTCGTGCTGCTGAGTTACCCGATGACCCTAGTGCGTTTCTGACTTGCATCGGGGACGACGTGGAAGGAGAGAGGGGAAAGAGAGAAGAGAGACTGATTGTGAGATGACGGCAGCCTTCTGGACGACTATCGGTCCCGTATGTACTCTTGTACTACCTCCCTGTGACGTGCAATGCCGAGCTGAGGATGCTGTACGCGGGGGCGAAGGAGTTGATGAGGAATACCGCGGAGGTGGGGAAGGTGATTGAGATTGACTCGGCGGATGATCTGGAGGAGCTGCCTTCGAAGTTGGGCTCGGCATAGGAGGAGGGCAGGCTGGCTGGCTCTTGTCACGACGGGGGCTTGAACGGAAACGGATGCCGCAGCTCGACTTTCGTCGAGATCAGGACGGAGATCAGAATAAATATAAGCCTGGTTACGAAAGATATAGACTTGGGTATTTTGGTCTGGCAACGCACACTGCGAAGGTGTTGATATCTAAGCAGATGGGTGAACTGATTGTTGTATTCTCTCGAGAGCTTGCTACCAACTAGACCGGTGCAGTAGGGCCAAGAAGTATCGAGGGCAAGAGCTGTCTAAAACCCGCACGCCTGCCTCCACCCTTGGGTTCCCACCATCTGGTCCACCGAAACAAAAACGCGTGGCTCTCCCCTTTCGATGGGCATTTTCTTTTCTGCGCTCTGCGGCTGTTTTGTGCACAATCCAATGCTTTAATGAATTGAAGTCACAACTTCCCTGCTCGGATTAAAAAGACCCTCCCTCCCTGGCTTAACCTTCGTTTGTCGCCTCAAAGAGAAGGATCTTCTCTTTCGATACTGGCGTTCATGAATCTGGAAGCGAGTAAAGCTTTCTTTCCGTGGTCCTCAGCTGAGGCTGATGAAACAGCGCGACGGATGTATCGGGATTGGGATTGATGCAGCGAAGCCCGATCCAATCCACAGCTGAGCTGTCGCGGATTGACAGGAGTCAACCTTCCCAAAAGGGAAGACTGGAAGGAAGTCAAAGTAGCAAGATTTTCCAGTCTCAGGTATGCCAACCTCAAGGGTTGCGTCGCGGCCCACGCCTATAGAGACGACGTCCGACTCTCGGTAAGTTGAGGTGATAACTCTCGTCATTTGATCCTGGAGGGCCGACCGGCTGAACATTTCTGGCCCATCACTTACTGAATATCCTCAAAATCAGCACTATATTTGCAAAAAAAAAGGGGGGGGGAGCCTTCCTCACGTGCAGGGAAGAGTGAAGACTGACGAGGCGCCTCACGGAGGGAGCATCACCCGCCCTTCTTATACCCCATATGTACCCGCCACCACTCATACATCTCAGCATTCCCCTCCTCCTGCAGCAAAGCCCCCAGATCCCTCAAGCTAGTCAACTCCCTCACCTCCCCCGGCTCGACACCCACCAGGCCGCGACGCAGCACCACCTCCCTCTTCACCAGGTGAAAATCCTTGTACCGCAATTTCTGCAAGACTCCCACCACCCATCAGCACGCACCCAGCACGCCAAACAGCCCGCAAATCCATAGCCAGCCCATCCGTCAGTCAAAAAGAACAGAGAGAAAACGTAAGGTACACCTACCCTGACAACCTCCAACCACTCCCTAGCCCCCTCCCCCTCCCCCTCAGCAAGCATAACGCCCGGCGGGCCCCGCCCGGTTTTCAGGACCACCGCACAGGAGAAGCGCTGCGCCGCCTTGGTGATGGCGAGGATCTTCTTGCGCGAGGTCATGTGGTGCGTCCTGATCAGGATGCGCTGGAGAGCTGCCGCTGCCATGATAAGAAGTCGAGTCGGGCAGTTTGAATTCGGATTCGCGAATATATCGCGAATGAATGCGAATTCGGACAGAGGAAGAGCGGATAGAGGAGAGCGGACAGAGGGAGGGAAAAAGAAAAGGGGCTTGGGATTTCGAAAATGTAGGTACCTACGTACTCATCTATATATTAGCGAACACGTGAGTTCCGCTACGGTCACATGACGTCGCGTCCTTGTGTTGCCGCATACCTACGCATCTGAAGAAGGGCAGGAATGGGATGGCGGCGGGTAGGAATCCGGGTGGGTACAGATCTAGCAAGGTAAGCTTGAAATCACTCGGTACAAAAGCGTGCCGGGCCTCATGTGCGGCTAGCACTCTGCTTAACCAGATAGGATCATCGGCCACCCCCGGTCTGCCGGATATCAGACTCGCTAGGGGTGACCGACCACCCACACCTACCAGCGACTGGAACGGGCACAACACAAGATGTAAGGCGCAGGAAAGTAGAAAACATAATTAAGGTTCGGTTCCATTGAGCCAAGAGACTTCCCGGCTCGTGTGCAAAATAAATTTTAATAATACTGCAGCCATCATTGTCAGATGGGAAATGGAAATGCGCCGTGTGGATTGCCACCATATTTAAGCCCGAGCCTGGGACACCACCCGTCCTCTATTAAGCACGAGAAAAACGCCGTCGTAAATAATGCAGCGATGTCTCGAATGCCTACCATCCCTCTCAAACACGCCTGTGTAAAGATTCCATTTCCTCATATTCACCAATCGTTTCCCTCATCATCACTTCTCTCAACACTTCGCTTATTTCCTGAGCTCTTTGGTCACCCTTTGCTTCTAGGAACTGAGCTTGAGCGTCCCTTCTTATTTCGGTTGCCGGGGGTACTGCTGACTGAACCCTTCCGCTTTCTTCCTCTCCCACTACCAGGTGGAGCAGGAGTTCCGGGACGGTCATATTCCTCATCGCTCGGCGTGCTGGGTCTGCCTCCTTCAGCTTCTTCGTCATCCTCTGCGGCAAGCTTGAAGTCCTGGTCGACGCTCAACAGCTCAACGAACGCACGGCACTGATTCATCATACTCTCCTCCGACTCGAGGGCAGTTATCGATGATTCACACAATTCCCAGAACTTGTCACCATTGACCCCTGGGACTCGGACTGGTAATTTACCAGTGTCCTTGGACGCGGCTTTGCTCTTGCTTGTTTGTTTGTTCGTTACGAGACCATACTGACGCCGGAGGTATGAGCGGGCCTCCCATAGACTGGAAAGCATCATGGATGACGCCGTCAGTTGTTTCAGACGTACTGGGTCGATGGTAGGTACGACAGGTTGGGACTGTCCGTTTTCGTCGATCTGCGAGGGCTGGTCGAGGCTGATTTGAAAGATCTCCGTCTCGATCGAATGGGCAATACCTGTACCCAAAGCAGCGACAACTTTCTCCATAGAATGGATAGTTGACATGAGCTCATCGATGGTCTGGAATTCGAAGAACGCCATATTCTCGATGATGAACTGGGAAAATTCAAGATGTTGTGGCAGTTCCTTGACAGCGTCCATCTTGGCCGGGTCGAACTCGATGCGTGCGCACAAGTTGTTGAAGAATTTCTTGCGATTACCCACCTTGCTGATCTTGAGAACGTCCACCATTAACGCGAGCTTAGCGGCGTAGGGGTTTAGGGTAGCTCCATGGGTATTTTCGACAACGTCACGTTGATAGACATACGCAAGATGAACAGCCCGCATGTATTCCTTCTCCAGGATCGTCTCGTGCTTCTCGTGGAGGGCACGATGCTCTCGAACAGCGATCTCGGCAATCTTTGGGTTCTGGGAAGTTTCGAGCGCAATCAAGCACGAGCCACATTCCTTCGGGTGGACCAATCCTTGTCGTGCGATACTGCAGACCACCTCAGCGGCCAGCAGTCCCAAATCATCTTGACAAGACAGGGCGATTCGAACGATGTGTGGTAAGAATCGCTGCGCGATACCAATCGCAATCCCGTCGCCCTGGCTGCCACCCATGATTCCCAACTTCGCCTTGCCGTCCACACCAGCTCCGGTCATGCCATCTTTTCCCGCCTCGGATCGCTTCTCCTCGAGAAGTAAGAAATCCTTGAAGGCTCTCAACACAATACTTTCAAGAGTTGGTTCTTTTTTATCAAACACTTCCAAGAAAGAAGTGAAGATATTTACAGAGGAGAAGTTCTTGGGCCACGACTGGCAAACCATGCCAACGGCATCCAGAGCGTGTTGTCTGACTTGAAGGGGCTGAGAAGGCGACGTGAACGGCGCAAACGTATCGGCCATCAGCTTCGAGACGGAGTCTCCCTTCCAGGATGGGATCTTCTTTCGAAACTCCATGACCTGTGGGTCAAGATCGCAGTGCTTGCCACACATACCTGTGATAGTTAATAGCTTGTTGACCTTTCGGACACCTAAGTCGTCTAAGGTCGCACCCTGCTTCTTGCGAAGACCGTCAAGACTAGAAACCACCACTGCCGTGAGCTGTCTGAAATCAGCCAGTGTCCCAGATATGATCCAGATACAGGCAATGACGTCGTCTAGAATTCCCTTGCTTGCTCCCGTGATCGATGGAAGAAGGGCCTTTCTGACATCTGAGAGGAATTGATTGTGAGTCTTGGATAGATGGGGGAGAACGTGGCGGAAGATGATCACAACCGATCGATAAATTATCAAATCATCGCCCTTTCCGAGATGGGCAACATATGGCTGGAGTAGCTGGATCTGCTGGGCCGTGAAAAGATCCGCGTTTGATTTTGCAAAAATTGTGAGAATTTGCAGAGCATCACGTCGTACTGAAGGTCCATCGTTGTCTTCTCTGCCATCGCCAATGACAGTCTCGAACATAGTAGAGACTAGGGCTTTGCAGACCCGGAAATTTCCCGCTGAAAATCTGGCGTCCGAAGAGAGCAAATTTTGAAGGACTTTGTCCAGTACAGCAGATACACCACTCCCACGCTGAACAGTTTTCACCATCAGAGCAACATGGTCTGCCATTGCGAGTTTAAATTGAGCCGATGTGTTGTCCGATGATGTCGACTGGTAGAACGGCGACATCCAAACCTCTTCCATCATTTGACGGGCCAAATCCTGGACTCCTTCGTCTAGATCCTGGACACGATGAAGAAGAGCATCTGCGATCAGACTACGAACTTCAGCCTTCGAATTTCTGAGGTATATGTCCTTTGAGAGCCGCATGGCGCGCTTCCGCACACCAACTCCGCTGTCACTGACTCGCTGCAGGATATTATCGATCATCTCTTCCTCGAGAGCAGGTCTAAGATTGATGCACTTGCCGATGAGTCCTAACGCAGAGTCGCGGACCGCAATTGAACTGTCGTTGGCACATCTCAGGATGAGATGCTTAACCGCCGGCTCTCTATCGATAATTGAAGGGTCAGTGTCAAGGACCTGATTGATACTCTTCATGCTCTTGGCCCGTACAGTCGCTTGCTCACTCGTCATGGATGACAGTAAGATGGACAAGATCCGGCCGAACGAGCTGCAGAATCGTGAATGCAGCAGCGTTACCGAGTATGCTAGGCGAGCGTGAGGCGGGCTCACAGGTTCGAAGCTGTATTCTGTGGACAGCCATCGACTGTCAGATATCATCATCCTCAGCCGGTACGCCAGCCGGCCATATTCCTTGTCTCTGCTGTCGTCCTCATCGTCCTCGTCGTTGTCAAACGCGGAGCAGACCTGCGAGGCCCATTCGGTCGTAAAATATCCGATCGCACTGCGTAATTGCGGGTCGTCTTCCTTGACAGGATACCGATACTCGAGAGACTCCAGACATGCGCGGAAAGGCCCGCATGGCCAGGAGACCAGCTCGATGCCCGAAACTTTACTGTTTAGCGCGATTTCTGCTAATTTAGACAGATATTGCCCAAGGTCAGTATCGCCGTTCTCGAGCGAACTCGCAGTTTTTCGGACGTGCGAATTCAACTCAGAGATCGCTGCACCCATCATGCCAAGGAGATCAAGAGCCATGTTCTTCGCGGGGACTGGCGTCTTTTCGCCCTCAGCCAAGCCCACCATCTTGAATAGTAATAATCGCAACAAGAGCTCTGCAGCTGGCCAATCCGCCGAGTTGAGACATGTAATGAAATCCTCCACGAAAAGATCAAGCAGATTTCGGTAAGGGGTATCGCCGCTCTTGGTAGACTTCATTGCTCTAGATACAATGAAGGCTACAACATAGGTAGCATTTGATCTCGCGGTAGCAAGCAATTCATCAACATCGTTTTTGAGCTCCTGGATTGCTGTGACGGGCTGTTTCTCGCCTTTGTGTTCTGAGGTTATGGTGTACTTCCCAGCCTTAGCAGGCTTCGAAGCTGCTTCTTCGGCATCGTCGCCGTGGAGCGCTTCTAGTGCCTTGTTTCTCCGCTTCTCCTTGGAATCATCGGGTTTACACGCGCTTGTCTGAATAAGTCTCATAATCAATGCTGACACGAGTTGTATGCTTCCGCCCTCGGGGAGCTTGAATTGGCGAGCACTTTGCTTCAAGACCGAAAGCTTCTCCATAGATGTCAGGATCTCATCGAAGATGCCTTGACGCTGGGCTGGCTTGCACAGGAAAATCTGAGCGAGAACATCCATGGCCACAACACGTAGGCTTTCGAATTTAGCGACCTTCACAATCGAGTCCTTCTCGCTAGGAGCGTTCTCCACAAAGATCAGCTGAGATGCTGTGAATTCAAGTGTGTTGATAACAGTTTCCGAGAGCTCAATCGATGATACCAGGCTAGCGATCGTAGAGAAAAGTCGTCGGCATTGCGATAGCAAATTGGTAATTGCGACCTTCTGTGCAGAAAGATGTTTGAACAATGCTGCTGAGGAGCCAGTACTTCTCAGTTCTACGATCGGAATCAAGCAATTTTCGGTGACATTCTTGAATACGTTCAAAGCACTGTGGATAACATCTTCAGAGTAGATTTGTTTTTCGTCACGACCACCGGACATCAGTTTCAGGCCAAGCCTCGCAGCCTTCACTCCGAGTTCGGCGACGGAAATCTGCTGAATCAATATTTCAACTTCCGGTTCTCCCATTTCCTCATCGACCTTGAGATCCGCAGCTTCTGCATCTTTTAGAGCACCCTCGCAAAGCTTTTGCAGCCGTAAGAGGTCATCTACTGGTACTTGATGGAATCTGCTCGCATCGATGACTCTCTGAACCAGAATTTCGACCTTGGCCTGGGCAGGAACACTCAAGCACACGCTTTCGCTAGTTGGCACAATATACGGACTTGTGAAGTTGCCTGGCTGCATTTGGTCCTCGGCTTCGAAAATGTCTTGCAAGTATTCACGCAGATGCTTGAGAGTCAATTCACTCTTCTCTCGCTGGTCGACGCTTCTAGACAAATCGTCCTCATCATCGTCCGAGCGTCGTCGTTTCCTCGAAAGATGTTGTGGGGTATCTGGGGAAGCGGGGAGAACCTCATATTCCTCCGGTCGGAAAGTCGAGGGCAAATTAGGGATCACAACAGCCATCTTGATATTGGAGCCAGTCGCTGTAGTCTGCTGAGATAGCTGTCGAGGTGTAGAAATTGGTGTCGATTGTTTTGGGGGATCGGCCCGCGGCTGTGAGACAGGGATTTCCTTAAGATTCGAGTCACCTTGCGATGGATGATACTCTTTGCGACTAAAGGTTTTAGGCAGCTCTGGGATTACAACAGAGAAGCTTGAACTTGAATTAGAAGGAGGCACCTGGACGGGCTGCGAAGGTGTATCGGTATGTTCGCTCGGCAGCTTCTCGAATTTCACCTTCGGTATTTCGACTGCGATCGTAGAATTCTCGTTGTAAGCTTGTTGGTTTGAGATCGCACGTTGGGTAGAAGGCTGTTGGGCGGCTGACTTCGGCTTTGGAATTGGGGTTGAGGTCGGAGTCACCTTTTGCTTAGTAGATAATCTGCTGGCAGTAATCGGGGGACTTGGTCGTTCTGGCGAGGGGTAACTAAATTCCACTTTTGTTTGGTCATAAAGTAGCTGTGCAAACGGAGAGAGATTAATGGTAGGTTGCTCATTCGAAGAAGGTGAGCCGGTCACATTTGGGACAGTTTTGAAGGTACTAGAGAGTTTTAGATATCGAAGGTTTCTTGAAGGCGAGTGTTTTCCTACAATTTGGGAATGTTTCCTGGTTTTAAAAGCTCCTTCAGCTCAATCAATGATTTCTGGAGTCTTTGAGATGTGTTATGAGACTGTTGCGCATCGCGATTGAGGCTTTCAAGAACCTGCCGCCCTTCTTCGCGCTCGGTCTGAGATGAGTATATTGAGGTTGAAGATCGAAGGCCAATGGAAGGGACAGGAATAATATCTTGAAGAGACAATTAGTGAATGTTGAGATGCGGGGGGGAAAGGGTAGCGGGTTTCTCTTACCAGAATTGAATGGTACGACTGACGAGAAAGGTGAATATGGCAGCGCCTCATCAACAGTAAGGACTCTGGCGACTCTTTGTATGGATCCATTCATCGGCGATGCACCGTTTGCCCCATTGAAGCTGCCATTCTGGCTGGCATGGCCGTTGGTGTCCATCCTGTTAGGGGAAGAAAAGATGCGCCGAGGGTGTTGAGTTAAGTTGCGCGGTTTACTAAGGAAGGGAGGCAGAAGGTAATAGCATGTTGTGCGAGACCGATTAATGCTTCGTAGAGAGAGGCACCTGTTGGCTATAGCCTTGTGGGATGGGTGTGGTCCAAAGTCTCGTCAAATCGCGTCGTTTGACAGGCTGTCAGCTGACCAAAACCAAGCCTTGGAAATCAGTTGTAGATTTTGCTTCAAGCAACAAACCCCGGAATTTCAAGATAACATCCCAACCAAAACAGCAAACATGTCTGCAATTGGGTCTCTCGTCTTCTGCACAGATTGTGCCAACATGTTGGACAGCTCGAGTGGCAGCATGAATTCAGTCCTGGTCTGCGATTACTGCGGCGCGCATAATAAAGGTTTGCACCTCCAGCCCTCCCCCCACAGTCTCGTTGTTCGCATGCCGCTCTGATGCTTAAGCCAAAAATGTCTCAGATACCGCATCCAAAACCATTATCACCTCCACCCAGCCGTCATCCTTTCCGTCCCTCCTGCGCCAGAAGCGGTCCGAAATCCAACAGATTGAGCGAGGCGACCTGCAAAATGAAGCTACGATCAAAGTGACCTGCACCGAATGCGGGAGGGATGAGGTCAGATATACGGCTGTACAGTTGAGGAGTGCAGATGAAGGCAGCACTATTTTCTATAGGTGCGACTGCGGGAACAAGTGAGTTCTGTACCATGGCGTGGCCTCTGCATACATACCTAACATCTGCGAGGTGGAACACAAATAACTGAAGGCGAGTGGGTGCTACTCTCAGTCTGTGAATACTGTTATGGACTGGTAGGAAAGCTTCGCAGTTACGCACAACCTATATGTGGGCATATGGGATTATGGAGTTGAATTGCTTCTCCAGGCCCAAGCACTTTGGTACCTAGCATTCTAAAAAAGCCGATTTACTATACGACCTTCCAATAGTCTCTATCTACTACGCCTTCTCGGTCTCTGGAATCAGCGCATATTCCACCTCGCCCCCTTTCTCAAACTCTGCCATGTCCAGAGCCACGATCACACTGTCTCTCACGACTTGATCCTTGTCGTTCAAGTGCAGCTTCAGCGTATCCTCCACACCCTCCTCCTCGCCCAAACTACCCAGCGCCTCAGCAGCCTCATGTCTGACCATACTGGCCTCGTTCAAATCGCCCAGGGCGGCCGTTAGCGCAGGGATGGACGCAGGATGCGACAACTGTCCAAAGACAAAGGCAATCTCGTGTCGGAACAGCGCAGAAGGATCCGCGAACCCCTTCGCTAGAGCGAGGACAGCAGGAACCGCAGTCGGGAGGTCAGGCGGCGAAGCCAAGTCCCTCAGTCCAAACATAGCTCTGTAACGCAGAAACAAAGGCTTCGTTGTATCCAGCAGATTCTTCTCCAGATCCTCGATATTCTCGCTCTGCTCCGACGTGGGCGCGGGGTCAATAGACGCGAAATCACTTTTTCCCCAAAGAAATTAGTCACCGTGTCCAGATCAATCGACCAACGTCAAATCCCCTCCCCAAGCGCAAATTATGTGACGAGGTGACCTGACATAGACATACCTCTTCTGCAACTTCTCCCTCTTCCCCTCCTCGCTATTCTCCCACTCGATGCGCGCAACGGCAATCTCGCACGTCTCCGTCACGACAACCAGCTCTTCCGCATCATCCCTCCGCTCCCGCAGCAGCGCTAAGCACCCCAGATCCCCAATCGCGCCCAGCGCCTCCGCAGCCTCGTGTCTGCACATCGGGTCCTCGCCTCGGTCCTCCAGCACGGCCGTCAGGTACGGCACGGCGGCCAGGGCGCGGGTCTGGCCCAGGCAGTACGCGAGCTCATGCTTGAGGAGCGCCGAGGGCGAGGCGAAGGCCGCGGCGATGGCGTCGATGGCGGCGAGCTGGGAGGGGGACGAGGGCTGGCACGCAAAGTGCTTGAGGGAGAAGAGGGCGCGGAAGCGGCGGGCCAGTGGCTCCGATTCCGAGCAGAGGGTCTTGCGCAGGGCAAGAATCGTGAGGTCGTCGTCGCTGGTGGTGGTGGTGGGGGGGGTTGGGGCGGGGGATGTCGCTGAGGGTGCCATGGCGGGGTACTTTTTTCTTTCCCTTTCTTCTTTCTTTTTCTCTTCTTTCTCCGTCTGGATTTTCGAGAAGCTGAGAAATGTCTTGTCTGTCCTGTTCGGTTCTATCTATCTGTTTGCTTTTGTAAACGTCGTAGTCCAAAGCAGGACACTCTCGAGATTTTTCAGGCTCGGATCGGGGGCGCGGGAGAAGAGTTTTGTGGTCTTTTTCACCGGTGCGAGGTGAGGGCCGGGGATATACTTTGACCTCAAATGTCAGGCGCTTTCCAAGGGATTACCTAGTCAGCTGACGTACTCGACAAGGATCTCCTGAGAAGAGCTGGTTTCCTATTGGCCACCTCGGGTGTCAAAGTGGATTTCAAAAGGATGAGTCAGCTGGATTCTCCTTGCACAGGAGAGGGCCTGAGGTTAGAATGTCGTTTTCGTAAATGCAGCACTCGATATCTTTTATCAATTGTTGTACATGTTACGGCTTCGTGAATTAAGTTCTGTTCCTGTTGCTGGTCAATGAGATCTTTATTACAACCTTACAATTTATTTTATATTCGAGCTTTTTCAAAGGTCCCTTTTCTTCCCTCAGCGCAACGTAATTTGTTTTTTTTTACAAGCCCGATATCGGAATCCAAGAGGTGATGTTTTGGGGCGGGGAGGGGATTTCAATTCTGATTACTGTAATTCATGGCTAGCTACTACGGTACTATCGACTACATCGAAGTCTTCAACTTTACGCTCATAGGTATTTCAGATCAATGTCGCTCTGAACCAACTCGCATCGAGGATAGAAACGAGCAGGTTGGTTGGTGCTCGACGAATGATCCGGATGACTTGTGAACCGGTACCGGCCCCTTTTCCCTCTCGGTAAACAAGCGAATGATCACCCAAGGGTATCGATTAACGAGTACCGGTAGATAAACAATCACCTGTTAGGGGACTTTAGGTTGTTGGTGTACGCCTTCAAGGCCGTAATCAGGCAGGGTTAAGCAGTATCGATTCCTGTTAGGGATTACTTCAAGTCCTGTCCTGGCTCCGAAACTCGCGCCAAGAATATCAAGATCATATTCATGTTGCGTTGTAGACGCATCATCGCCCTCGACCCAATCCATCTCTCTCTCTTACTTGGCCCCAAACCACCCGCCGATACCTGATGCTGCCTTGGAACCCAGAGAAGGTGCTAAATGTCTGACAAGGACGTTACCCCTTGAAGCCTGTGCCTCGATTTGCCCTGGCTCACTAGAGCTGGGCTGGTGTGATGGTGTTTCTGGAAAGACGTTTCGGAGAAGATTCCTGCTGCTGCTGCTCTGAATTCGGGGCATTCGATGAGGTCGCTCTCGGTACGTGGCCTGATGGGCTTGGGCCGTCACGTTCTTGACATTCCGCAGGTTCTTGCCGAAGTGTTTGAGGGCGTAGAGCTGGTCGACAACTTGGCCGACGCCGGCCTCGTCCAGCGGCTTGTAAGAGCTGTTGCTTTCCTCCATGTCGCTCTCTAACGTCGCGATTTGTTCCTGCTGCTTGTTAGATGCATCACTCTCGGACTCGAGACGGCCGATGAATTGATAGGACAGGCGTACAAGGTATTGGGATCGTTCGGCCTTCGAGATCCTCCAGCTTGATATCATTCCCTTCAGCCTGAATCTTCTCCTGCTCGGCAGCAATCAGGAAGTCGATACATGCAACCGTGGCATCATTGATGGGCGACAGTGAGTTCTCCTTCAAGAACATCCCAAACTGGGCCGCTGCCTGCTGGATCTTTTCGTATTCCAACTTGTTCTCGTGGCCGAGTGCCTGGAGCTCCCTGATAGCCGTCTGCTTGAGCGTAGTCTCGGGAGCGTTCTTTCTCAGCCGCTTGTGAATCTCGCTGTCTATGACAGTCACCGTCTTCTCCTCGAGCTCGTACATCACATGCATGTGCTGGTCCCACCGGTGTCCACCGCTCGGGTGGAGGCATACCTCCCCATCCCTGGAAGCGCGGCAATCTCGAAGTCCTGCATCCGATATGCTGTTTGGTCTTATATCAGGTCGGAAGCACACGGGGTGGCAGTGAGTGATGTAGTTGGTTACAATATTCCCTTGCCATTGCCATCATCTTCATACTCGACGCATGTGGCGTCGGTACGTCTGCGCCAAATTCAACCTAGAGTCTGATCAGAGATTCGTTGTTTATCCCAACGCCCAAAAAAAATTGACGGGAACCCCTTCAAAATATCCCCAAGGTGTTATGAAAATGATCACGGATCTTGTGAAGACGGAATCGGAAATCCGGGTCAAGGATATCAGCTTGTCAGACAAACAGAGAGTTATCGATCAGCAAAGCACGGAGATGGAGCACCTACGAGCCTCGCAAGGTAGTGCTCAGCACTCCACACAGTTGCAACGAGCGGTACGCACTTAGGAAGCCTGGTTTTATTTTCTTGTATGTCTCCGGATCCCCCCGCGACATGGCTCTTCCTTTTCCTGGAAAATTCTTGGTTAGGGTGGCTACTAACTAGCCCGGTTGGTACAGACGATTGAGCAACTCACGACGGAAGTGCGAGAGAAGGACCTGCTTGAGAGAGAGAGGGACCAGGCTCTTCGCGAACGCGACTTCGAGATCCGTTCCACCAAAAGCCAACTCGCTTAAGTGGCTAGCAGCAGTTGCCTGGTACGGTAGCAAGCAGGTTTAACTTGATCGTGTCATTGTCATTCAAGTCGATGATATCTACTTTGTAAACCTCTATGACTCCTGCCTTCCTACCTGTATACTTCATATAGCGTATAAATACACTACGCTACCAACCCGCAAAGTTCAAAATCAAAATCAAAATCGAAATCAATTCATCGGAAACCCCGTCTCTTTCTTTCCTTTCTCTACAGCAAGCAGCAGCGCTCTTTATATATACACATATATACACGTCCGAAAATATGATTAATTTTAGTTGATATACCAAGCGAGCAAGCGAGCAAGCAAGCAAACATAGAGAAAAAAAAAAGGCAAACACAGCCATAATCGTATATTATCATCCCATTCAATGATTCTCATGTGAAGCCCAAATCGGACCCTGGTGACCGACAGGATAGAAGAATAGTAGGTAGTCCAACGGACAACCCATATCCCTTATACAACACGTCCTATGAGCTTAACAATCCTCCCCCCCCCCCCCCCCCCCCCCCCCCTTTTACCCCACAAACCCAAATGCACCATGTACCCACATATCCCCACTCCCCTTCCTCACCCTTTCCCCGAATGAAACCATTCCGTATATGCAAGCCGCTCCAAATGCGCTTCATGATAGCGCCCCGGATCCAGTTCGTGCAGCTCCAACTCCACAACGCCTCACCAGCAAATTCGTCATCTCTTTACCCCCTCCCCCCTCCCCTTGTACCGCATTCCCACCAAACAAATACGGCACGTCAAACGCCTTCAACCCGCGACAAGAACTCGCGTATCCGCGTGCTCTCGACATCACTCGGCTCGCTCTCAATAGCCCGCAAGAGACTATCAATAACGCTGTCCACCCTCGCTTCAGGCGTCCGCGTGCACAGGCTGATAATCTGCCGGTACTTGCTCGCCAGCTCCGAACTCTTGCTTTGCAGATCCCGCACGCTCGTCTCCAGGTCTTGATTGACAGCTTCGTACGCACGGACTCTCGCACGCAGGACATGCACCGGCGGGAGGGAAGTAGACAGAGCTTGGCGGTCGGCGCGGTCAATGACGAGCGGTTCTTGCTGATTCATGGTAACTCGGGAGAGGATGGAGGAGGCTTGATCGGAGATTGCGAGGCTCTTATCTGCATCGCCTAATTGCAGGTCATGATCGGTGTTCATTTGGCCAACTTGGCTTTGCATTTGGGAAAGGAGGGTGTGTTCTTCATCGTATGCTCTTCTCAGGTTCGCAATTTTGGTCTTGCGCGCGTCACTCTCCTTGGCTTCCGCTTGCAGGTGCTCGGCTCGTCTGCGTTGTTCGCCGAGCTCTCCTGATGCGTCGCGAAGTTGGGCGTGCAGGTCGTCGATGGTGGCTTGCTTTTTGTCCATTTCTTTGCCAAACTCATTCTCTGTTTCGTTGAGAAGGGTGGCGATAGCTGGGAATAATTAGTATCGCGCCGAAGAATGAAACAAAGCATGACAACTTACAATTGATAATCTCGCTACTGCTCTGTTTTCTCTCATTGCTCATGGTCTTGTGGTGAGCACGCTCCTCTCCTGGACGGCGCTCAAATTCCGAAGGGTCACCAACACCGAAGTCTATCGGACTCAGGTTCGAATGGTTTGCGATCGAGGCGTCTGCACCGACTTCGATCAGCTGAGAGATGATGCTGCGGTTGCCAATCCTCGCCGCGATATTCAGCGCCGTATCCCCCAATACATCTTGGATGTTGACCACCTCAGACATGAAGCGGCCGATGCTTAGTGTTTTAGGTGCCGGCGGAGCGTTGCTGAATGACTGTTGACTGTTGGGCGCACTTCCTTGACGAACGACGAACTCGAGTAATGTCTCAAGGTGATATTTGCTCGCTTGACTGCGTCCCTTGACGGCTGAGGTAAGTGCAATATGGTGCAGTACCGTTCGGCCACGCGAATCTCGAATCTCAATACTTGGACCGAGCAGCTCGAGTATATCCGAGAAGCTCCCAGCATCCAGGTTGTTATTGACCAAACATGAGCGCATCAAAGCAGTCTCTCCTGCCGCATTTACTCTGAAAATACTAGCTCCTTGTGAGATCAAGGCTTTAAGAAGGCTCCCACGAGCAAGTGTAGCGGCCCAAATCAAGGCAGTATTACTGCTTGCATCGATTGGTATATCGAGATCCTCGGGACTAAGATTTTGGAAGGCCTGATGGTTGCTGAAGTCATCGTGGGCAGTGAACAGAGACATCAAAAGATCCTTCTTTGCGACTCCGTGAGGATCAGAAGATACGGGCAAGGGTGGAAGCGGTGCATTGCCTCCGTCGTTTTGCATGTACTGGGCACGATACACAAAGGAGTCGTTTGGCTCGGTTGGTGAAGCTTCGCGGATAGACATGCCGAAGTTGTTATCAACCTGATATTGGCCAGTGATACTTGGAGAGAGTCTGGCTCGTTTCCTCGGTGACTCCTCAAACTCTCCATTGCGTGCATCGTCACGCCCAGTATGTGAGAATTGCGCTGTATATGCAGAATCCGGTTGTCCACTGGCCGCAAAGCTATCATTCGATGTGAAACTCTGCATGCTCTGTTGTGAGCCACCGGGGAATGCATTTTCTTGGGAGCCAAGATGTTGGTTCGACGGTTGCCTGCTGAAGCTCGCTGGACGAGGTGCAGTCGAGCCGTTCCTCATTCGTGGTACTGGAGAGTCAAATCGAGCTTTGCTGATGGCTGCAACCGCATGAGAAGCAGTGCTGGAGATATTTTTGAAGAAGGTGCCTGACTGTCCACTCGATCGGTTATCCGCGCCTGAGTTGTACAGTCTCTTTCGCTGCGCGGCCATCGCTTGTTCCTTGGTAGGAGTATCGATCACGCCGCTTCCCGCAATGCCTCCATTTTGCCCCATATCATAGGTCAAGAGCGGGTGGAGTGCTTCCTCGACACCGTACTGTCTGCAGAACTCAAGGCCTCTCTCGAACTTGATCCAGGTGCCTTGGTATTTTCCGTAACCTCCTTGGACCTTCTCATGCTCTCCTATGAGGATCTCCTTCTCCAGAACCTTCGTGCGCTTTCCCTTTTCGATGCCGGCAACCTTCAATATCTGTGTAGCATTCAACCAGCTGTCCTTGCGCCGACGCATCACTGCGATACCATTGACTTCCATTTCGTAGACATCAACACCTGAATATATGGCCTATGCATATTAGCGCCAAGCTCTTCCAAAGGGTCTCAAATCCTGACCGAGTATATCTGGGGTGCCGTATGTCCTCTATTCATCCCATTGTTTCCCTCATACTGTCTGAATACTCCTCCTCCCTGTATCGTGAGTCCGGCCCCCTGGGATCCCTGGCTCATACTGAAGGACATTTTTGGTTTCGGTCGAGTAAGCTCCGAATCAGCGTCGTATGCGCCGCCGCCAGCAGATCTGAAGGATTGCGGTCGATCAAGGTGGTTCTGGCGAGAGTCGGATGTGTTCGCAAAAGGTTGTGAATTTGGAAGGATTTTTGTAGCGGCCATCAGGTCAGATCGGGGTTTCGGAGTTGTAGGTGAATATCAGTCGGTCGGGTCCACCGTAAGGGACTCGGGATTGAATTGCGCGCGTAGCTTAGGCGATTTCACCGATGTTTTCACCGATGTCACCGTCGCCGTGGCCGTCGCCGTCGGCGTCACTTTGTGGGGATGTGAAGGGAAATCAAGCTTCCCCTAGAAAGCCAACTGGTGATGCGAGACGCGTTCGAAGTGCTTTTGAGGTTAAGCGCGTTGGACCGACTACTTACGCGAGTCAAGTACAATGTCGATAGTGGGGCCGGAAAGATGCACCAACCCGTGAATGACAACAAGCCCATTCATTCATACTTCGTATTCATACATAATCATACATACTAAAAAATCGGCATATATCAAATAGCGTGTGACGTCAACGGATTTATATTTTGTAATTTGTTAAATTCAATTTTATCCAGCCAGTCTGCATTGCCTGTCGGATGCAGACATGCGTCTAGCCTTACTTACGTTGGCATAGGCGGGCAGCGCATGGCAGTCAGTCTTTCAGCCTTTCAGCCTTTCATCCTTAAGGACTTAACCGGGTAAGGCCCATCTCCAACAGCTATCAAATCCTCAATCCAGGCTCGGACGATGAAGCAATGACAACGCCACGAGCGGTATGGCGATCTGTAATCCAATACCGAAACTTTCATCAGCCCCGGACCCTCGGCCACGAGTTTGGGTGGGCTGTACCGCGGGATGTGCCCCTTGAGACTCGCTCCGCCTATAGAGGACTCCTGCGTGCAGCAAGCTACCTCCCAGATTCTGTCGCCAGAAAATATGCCTACGACAGGATCAAGGCTCGGTTCCGAGCCGGTCGCGACAAGTCCAATGCTCGATCCCGCGCAAACCCTGACGTTAAAGGACCAACACGTCTCGATCGGGGACGATTGCGGAAGGCCATAGCTTCGAAAAACATGTTGGAAAATGCAAGCAATGGGGACTTAGATGCTCTACAAAAGGTCTTGATGTTTGTGTACGGGAGGCAGGGTGAGAGGAAAAGGGAGCTTCTGAAGACCCTGTTGCATCCCCGAGATGGCAACACCACGAATATTTCGGCCATGCAGCAGATGGTCGACAATGGAGGGGGCAGTGCAATTGAATTCCGGCCAGATGAGAAGCTGTACAAGTTCATCAGGAGTCAGCAGGAAAACCAGCCGATCGAAGCGGTGAAGCAGAAGATCAGACAGGTCAACGTCAAGATACCGAAGGAGAGCTTGTGGGGACGCCCAGTACCACTTAGATTGCAGAAATCCACGCTGAACCGGTGGTGGGCTACTACGCTCGAGAAACTATTGCCGCCTATACCTCGATGCGAATGGGAGCGGCTACGAGACCTTGCGACGTCCGTCGTGCCTTTGGAAAAACCACCTCCTCGACGGAAAGCACCCCCGGGACCACCTGAGCTCGGAATTGATTGGGTCCTTCGCTTCAAACCCGGCGATTGGATCTGTGTCTCGGAGACATGCCGACACCACAATCCTGCAGCGAGAACCAATTGCCGCAAGTGTCACTCTTCGCCCGCAACAGGCGAAACCGAAGCACCTCCCTTCTTCATGTCCGGTGAGTGGGGTTGTGGTTGTGGATACCAGAACGAAACGAGTCGCGTTAGTTGTTACGTATGCGGCGCTCCCCGCCACCAAGCTGTTCACTTGTGGTTTCAATCCATCCCAGGTCCGGTAGCTATCAACAGGAATGCTATCCTTGAAGTCGAGAAATGGGAGCGGAAGGCTAAAGAAGCAAATATGCTCATAACATCGAGGCGAGCGGAGGCACCGGAAGCAGAAGCGGGGGAAGCCAAGATGAAGGAAACGTGGTTCAGGTCCCGATCTATGCGGAGGCTATACGCTTCTGTCTGGAGGTTCACGTCGACCATGGAGTACGATGCCGAGACCAAGAAGATGGTTGTCGATTGGGGCGGGCCCAAGGCTGCAGCTTATGCTGGGGAAATTACAAAGCCTACCGAGGAGGACCTGGAACTGCTTGAAGGCGTGGAAGAGTACCATCAGGAGGGTGTGACCGACAAGGAGCAAAATCTACAGGAGGTGAGCCGTCGAAGACGATGGTTGGATGAGGTGCGTTCGCAAAATCTTGGCAACCGAAAGCCGTTGAAGATAATCAGAGCGTCCTCAGCATGATGTTACTCCATGGAGATGTATATCACGGATGTATAACTATGTATAAAAAACAAAAACCCAAACTACAACTCCCTTCCCGGACCCTACTCACCCACCTACTCTCCTACCCCATCCCAAAATCCGAATACCAAACAACGCTCACCCGGCCCTCTCAGCCAACCTCATCAACGCCTCCCCATCGACGCGCATCGTCTGCCACTCGCTCATCGCTCGCGCCCCAACACGCCCACTCTCGTAGAAGCCAATGCTGGGTGCATTCCACTTCAGCACGCACCACTCCAGCCGGCCCCCGTCCATACCCACCACCTCCCTCGCCAGCTCCGCCAGCAGCCGCTGCCCGTAGCCCCTGCCGCGGTGCTCCTCTCGCACAAACAGGTCCTCGAGGTAGATGCCCGGCCTCGCCTTCCACGTCGAGTAGTTGTAGAAGTACAACGCCATGCCCGCGGGAGTACCGTCGGGCGCGAAGAGCAGGAGGCAGCGCGCGGGGCGGGCGGCGGAGATGGTGGCATCTGGAGGGCTGGACGAGGTGGAGGCCACGGTGGGTAGAAGGGGAGGGGGCGCGAAGGCTATGGTTTGGAGGAGGAGAGCTGGGGTGGCTTCGACTGCGTCGGATTCTTTCTCGTAGGCGGCGAGCTCTTGGATTAGTTGCAGGATGATTGGGACGTCTGTATGTATTCTTGTTCAGTGAGTGTTTCCTCCCCCCTCTTCCCCCCCTCCTTTTATTTTTTCTTTCTTTTCTGTTTCCGAAGGGTGGCTAGCGATGGAGATGGGCAAGGGCAGGGGGGGTTAAGACCTTCGCGGCGTGCGTGCCGGATTTGAGCCTTTCCTTCATCATCTTCTTTTTTAGAGGCGTCAGACATCTTGTTGTTTGGATAGTGAAGGATCAGAACCAAAAGATCGATGAGAGTCCTTTGATCTCATAAGTAGAAAGTAGCCGTCGTCGACTGCTTTGCTTGCAGGTGTCGTTGAGGTTTACAGTGGGGTAAGATCTACCCATCCCCGCCAAACGAGAACGTCTTGGCATGGGCTTGGTGCCGTTCGACCACTTTACTTTTCCCAAAGTTTCTCCTAGAGCGGCCTCACATCTCTTGTTTGAAATTTCAAAATCTTATTCTTTTGGCCGACTATACAAGCTGTGTTCATATCATAGGTATAAGGTGCCAAGTTCAGATTTTATTGTGTGTGTGTGTGTGTGTGTGTGTGTGTGTGTACTGTACAGTACCAGCCAACTGCTAATGCATAAAACCCCTTTTCGCACCGATAGGGTCAATACTTCGAGAGAGAAAATCGACACTAGCCGTAGTTTATTGATTACACCTTCGGGGGGAGGGAGGGGGGGTAAATTAATTGAACCTTTAAGCTTAAATACGCCTATTTAATAGACCTAGATGTAAGAAATATAAAAGCTGGAGTCGCTCCCCTTTTTCTGAAGAGTTCCCTTGCAGCTAAGCGAAAGCTAAATTTATATACTTCCGCCTTAGTTTAATATATTAAATAACAATATTAGATAAAGCAGTGCTGGAGCTATAAGCTATTTATGTTTATGACAATGTGTGTAAATCTTATTAATCTTTTTGAAGTTATGGTTGTAGAAAGTTTAAGCTGTCAAATGTACGAGTGTTGGTACGAAATAAGAGTTGAGGCCTGATAAGAGTTTATGCATTAGCAGTTAGAAGGTACGGTAAGTGGGCGCTTGATAAATGGAAATATATATCGTTGGGTTTTATTTAATGACCGGATTATCAAGATAATTTTGGTATCGTACTGCAAGCTCATTAGCTCGGCGGGCGCAGTTACACAGCATGGGCTGAGCTGACATTGGGAAGTGCCGACGACCCATTTTCAAATCATGGCCTCCACATTCGGATCCGGGTATCATCCAACCTCTTTCTTACTCCCCCTTCGCATCTTCAGTTCCCGACGAGGTTTCCAAGTATGGAGTTGAACCTCGTGGTACCGGTTCCTACCGGAGAGCTCCGTCAGCCGGGCGACGAAGAGATCAACGGCCGTCTTTGGCGTGTCACAGGTGCTCACGACCCCGATACCATGGGTCTCAAGTTCCATTGCGTCTCGTATGTCTGGGGTCCGGGTGTTGAGCCGCTCGGGAGCTTCTTCGGCTGCAAGAGAGAGATCTCCGATCAGACGCGACCGGCGCTCACAGCAGCTATCAAGGCCGCAGATGTAATCCAGGGAGAGCTGAAAGGCGAGAGGACTGAAGCCTTCTGGATTGATGCGATCTGCATCCCGCAATTGGAAGTGCCTGCCCGCTACAAGACACTTGAGAGGCAAGTTGTTACGCTACAGAAGTGGTAGAGGGTACACTCGGTTTGGGCCCGGCTAATGTGACAAAAGCATGGGCTTCATCTACAACGCCGCCACCTCAGTCATCATCGTCTTGAAATCACCCGCGTGGCGCATCGTCGAGCAAGCCTCGGCCAAGAAATCGCCGGAGCCGCTATCCTACGACGACATGCACGTCCTCGAGACGGACACCTGGATCTCCCGCGTATGGACCTACCAGGAGCTCGTCAATGGCCGCGCGATACATTTCACTTCTCCCCCGTCCGGCCCAGGCCGAGAGTCTCACGTTGTAGTCGAGGCGACCCAGTTCTTCAATTGCATCGGACACTCCCTCGCGCGCTACAAGCGCGAGACGCACGTCTCGGAGAGCACGGCGCTAGCCACCTTTCCCAACCTCAATGTGCTTGAGGATACCCTGCTCGATAGTTTGTTGAGCGGGTATCTCGAGCGCCCTGCACTGGGCATACTGTGCAACATCTCGACGCGGTCATTTGATGCGATGTTTCCCCAGAACCGCTTGTTGGCTTGCCTCGGCGCGCTGACGAAGGAACCGAGCTGGGGCCCGCCGTCTGATGATCTCGGTCCGTTGTCCGAGAAGATGATGGGGCTTTGTGAGAGGAAAGGGGACTACTCGTTTGTGTTTACGGCCGATGAGCGGAGCCTTGAGAGTGGGAGGACGTGGCGACCTGATACGAGACAGGCTAGTTCGAGGGATGGACCGAAGCATCTTGTACCGCTCATAAACTGGCCAGTTCATGGTAATCCGGTAGGAGAGACGCAGCGAGGTCGCACAGACGAGGAGGGATTTTGGCTGGAAAAAATGGTGCCTCTTCGAGTCGAGGATGCCATGAGACCCGCTGCGAAAATCGAGCTGGATAAGATACTTTGGGGCTGGATCGATCCACGTCAGCCGAATCTGCTTCGCAGGGGTTTGTTCGGACGCGAAGAGGAAAAGGCAGACTGGCTCGGCGCGTTGGCGAAGTTCCTGGTCAGGATTGGCTATAAGGGCTGCCTGGAGCCGCATTTATGCGAGACGGGCCTATTCTTCTCGCAGAAGGAGTTTAGGAAGGGGGAAATTTTTGAACTCTTTGCGGCGGCGAGCTTGGGGTATTACTTTGGCGCACCGGGCATCGCGAGGTGGAGGGACGGAGGGAAGTGGGGGTATTGTGCTGGAGTGTTCGTCGGGCTGGTGAGCAGCAAAGCTAGTGAGCCACTGCTAATATTATAGATGAGGAAGTTTTTCTATCATGGATGTTTCTCCGAAGGCTTCTCGTTGGGACAATTCGTGAAACTGTAGACCTCGCGTAAATTGGAGCGAAGCGAATTACCCCTATCCTAACAGAAGGACAAGAGCATACCCCCTTCCTTTTCTCTTCAAGACAACATGGCGGCATAGGGCTTTGCTGGAGTCTCCTATACATGGATATATAACCCCATCGGTTTCGTAATCATTCATTGAGCGACCTGGTTGGCAAGTGCCCCTCGCTAAAGTATTCTTGCTGTAGTGAATTGAAAATAATCCGCAACAATAGGAAGAGCCAACCACAATAGGCTCGCTTCGCTTGCTCCGATCACAATACTTAGCAGCGGCACAATACTAGACCCTAGTGCTTCCCAAGTACATAAGAAAATTCCACACGCCATTCCCTACAAGATTTTTCTTCCTTCCTTAGACTCGCACACTTCTCGAAAAGCCACGCTTTTACTACAGACTTGTTTTCACCAACCACATTCTTCGTCTCTCACCACCTTCCACAGTCCAACAACATCCACTTCTTCGTTCCACCCTCTCTACCACCATGACATCCTTCTTCGACTTCCCGAGCAAGGTTGCCGCCAATGGCATCTACCGCTGGATGGGTGCTCAGCCTGCCGACCACGCGCACTACCTCGAAAAGGATCTCGCCTTTACCAAAGACCAGTCGGTCATCGGCGTCGAGGCTCCCCGGGACCGGATTCCAAGCGTCTCGAGCTTTGACGAGGACGAGACGATGGACCTCGCCGAGCTGCTAGCGGCTCTCGAGAGCAAGGAGATCTGCCCGCTGATGAACATCCGAGTCGACTCCGGCCGCCTTGTGAGTGCTCTCTCCCCTCCCCTTCCCCCCCCCCTCCCCCCAGACAAGAGCATCTGCTAACACTACCATAAACACACAGCTTCGAGACGAGGAAGCAAAGCAAGCCCACCGAGACGCCCAGCGTCCTCGCCCAATGCTCCCCGTCAAAACTACCTACATGCTCAACTCGCGCCGCGTCCACCCCAACGACCAAGCGGCCCTCCTCCGCCTCAAGACCCTCCTCCACGTCGCCCGCACCAACCAAATCTCGCCGGCCACGACCCGCGCCATCATCCCCGTCTCCCACCTCTCCCCCGCCTACGCCGCCCAAGCCCAAGAGGTCGCCCGGCTAGCCTCCGCCTGCTTCCGCTCCGCGCTCGACTACGCCCGCGTCGCCCTCCGCCAGATCACTAGCGCCGTCGACGCCGTCTGCGGCGCGGGTTTCTTCACCGGCTTGGGCCGCCGCGATCGCATGGCCGTCCTCGGCGCCGTATTCGACCAGTTCCCCGTCTTCCTGCTCGCCCGCTTCCGCGCGCGCGAGAGCGCCGTCGTGGATTTCGAGGCCATCTTTGCTGCGAAGGGAACCGGTCACCGGGATCGGGTGGCGAGGCGGAGGCTGGCGACCTTCTACCGCTACGGATGGATCCGGTTCTGCGAGAAGTTGGTGGTGGATGAGAGGTCGGCTGGCGGAGGCGACGGCGGCGACTTTGAAGAGACGAGGCGGGCTTGGCTGGAAATTGACAAGCGAGGTCTGGTCTGGGAGTTGGAGCTGGGTGGTGTATATGATTTACCGGCGAGGAGGAAGATGATGTTTGAGAAATTGAGAGGCTGAAGATCAAGATGAAAGCTAGTGTTCTTTTTAAAGTAGAAAAATGAAGAAAAAAAAAGGTAGCTTTGTAATAACATATTCGGGCGCCCTTGTGTATATGAATCCCAGCCAAGCTACTTACATGAAGTAACCACCACCACGGATCCGTGTCTCGCCCTCTCCTTCATCCCACGATTTATTTTTGTACAAAATAAAACGAAAAATAAAGAAAAAGTAGCCCTGTGATAATACATTCAGCCGGCCGCTCTTGTTTACTTACCGACTCGCCCGCATCTCCGTGCTTAATCCGAGCTAAGCTAAGCTTACAACCCTTTCCCAATCCAATCCAAACCTTTCTTTCTTCTTTTATTTTCTCCCTTTCCTCCTCCTTTCCTCCCAAATCATAATCCATAGCATATTTAAATCCCTCCAATCCAATCCTCCCTACCC